GCCTCCCAGAGTGTTAGGATTACAGGCGTGAGCCACCACGCCCGGCCAGAACCTGTGCTTTTACTGCCATTAGGCAGCCTGGAAAGACAGGGACATACTCAGTGAGCAAGGATGGGAGAGTTGGCAGTGTAAGAGGTCATGGCAAGAACCAGAAGTTTGGTACTTACTTTAGAACAGCATCATGGTTCTCCAGGAGCAGCACATCTAGGAAGGTGTTCCTGACCCGGTCCCCTTGAAGTTTGAGGGCTAGGATGCTACGGCAAGCTTCTAGTCGTACGCCTGGCGACTTTTCATAGTGGATGGCCCAGAGCAGGAGATCTGTCAGCTGGGGACTTACTTCCCCAATCTGTCCCAAAGCTGCAGAGATTAGGGGGCAGCATGTTCTACTGTCCCTGAAGACTAAGTTGGCTATATCCTAGCATCCAGAAATAAGTTGAGTATTGCAAACAATATCTTCCCTTTTGGATGGTAATTAATCACCATTGGAATTTTAGGAATAGGTTAGAGTGGGACATTACCCCCAAAGGATTCCTCGAAGGGGAACGTTCCATCTCATCCTTGCCCATTAGGATGTGAACATAGACTATTTTGCCTATTTAGGGATGAGATACGGGACAGATAACTTGGGAGACGAGCCTAGTCAAGGCATGGTGATGGGGAAGGGAGGCACAAATACTTCACAGGTTTACCTAGGGCTGATTCTGCTAGGGACCTGCCAAAGACTATATCAAAGAGAGAAGCAATGCCCAAGATCCTAAAAAGAAATTAGGAAAATTAGGATCAGGGTTTTAGTTCTCTAGCAGTCTTGACTATGGTCTTTTACAGAGTACAGTAGATGAAACCTCCAGGGAAAACAAGATGTATCCAACAGTGGATATCTACTTGGAACTTATCCTTAATTCTGTTGGCTGGGACTATCTTGTCGGCTCTTTACCTTAACAAGTTTGACACAGACCTAGACTCAGGATCCTTAACTAAAAATTAAAAAGGAGAAAATACTCTTTCCTTTCTCAGGCAAGGAACTTCTGAGAAGCTAAGATCATTCCCTCTCCTACACTTCATCCTGTTATTAGAGAGTTTTGGGGAATCATTTATACTAGCATAGGGGAAGGTATTTGATTGAAGAGTTGGGGCCGCTACTTCTGTAATACCTCGAATGGCAGAGGCCTTGATTTTCCAGTAAGGATCTCTCTCTGTCAGATTCAGGAGGCATTCGAGCACCTGGGATGGATAAAAGGCAGTATTGAATGAGGAGAACAAGAAAGAGAATGAACCAGAAACAGGGACCCCACTTATCTCTAAAAGGTGCTATAACTGAAAAATGACCTATCAATTTTAGTGACAAATGAGTTGGAGTCTGAAGTACCAACCTGTACATATAGTATATTAGCTGAATTATCTGGTATCTGTAGATTGATTTTCTCAGCCCACACGTCTGTGGCCATATAGCTTCTTTTGAATACCTCAATCAGATCTCCCCCTAGTAACTAGGAAGTATAACTCCATTCGCTGGAGTTGATGCTAAAGCCCATCAGCACCTAGGTAATGAGAAGTTAGTTAACTGAAGCGAGAACAGGGTTCAGGGCTGTGCTCTAGAGTGAAGTGTGGGCTGGCTGGGAGCTAAATGGTCCTAACTGATAGATGTGGCCTATATACCCCCTCACCTTCTTGGTTCCTGATCTCTCATTTTGTGTCCCTACAGAATGGTGAGTGTGCTATGCACAACAAGGGAAGGTAATGCTCTCATTAGGTCAATAAGGTAAGATGAGAACACGTTTCCCTGACTCACCATCTTGTCGCGGATCTGCAGGGCACCAGCTGCCAAACAGGCTGCCAGCCGAACTGCTGTGAAGTCATCAGAGAAACAGCGCAGGAAGCTTGGAAGGAGCTTGGCGGTCATGAGCTTGAGCTCACGGACCAGGGAGAGGGCTTCCACACGCTCCTGGGAATTTCCTTGACCCAGCTTGATCCTGTAAGGCACAAGTTGTCTTTATTTTCCCTCCTTAAACCTTCAGTGCCTACCACCGTGCCCTCCCCACTAATTGCTTCAGGATAAAATCCAACCTCTGTGGGCTCTACAGTATCAACCCACCCTTCCCTGTTCAGCCTTGTGCCCATTAGGTAAGTTTCACTCGGTACAGACCTTGACTGTCTTATTTACTTGAAGCTCTATTACCTAGCATATGTTAGGCACTCAGCTACATTGAATGACTGAATAAAGGAAAGTGTCAGCTTGCACCCTTTGTCACAGTTACATTCTCTTCTCCACTGCCCTCACATGTGCCATGCTCATTTCTGCATTTGGCTCCCATCCTGGAATGCCTAGGCAGTCTTACCCATCCTCCATAATCTTGGCTTTACTCCTCTAGCCTACATTGAGTATTCCATTTTTGTGCAAGAGCAGTTATGGTATATGCCATTTGTTCTAGTTTTTAACATGATTTGGTATTATTATTATTTTATTTTATTTTTTAGAGACAGGGTCTCGCTCTATTGCCCAGGCTGGAGTGCAGTGGTATAGTCATAACTCACTATACACTTGAACTGGTGGGTTCAAGTAGTCCTCCCACTTCAGCTTCCCAAGTAGCTGGGACTACAACACTTGCCACACTGCCAGGCTAACTTTAAAATTTTTTTGTAGAGATGGGGTCTCGTTATGTTGCTCAGGCTTGATTTGGTATTTTTAATTAAGTATTTATATATCCTGCATGTGGTCATCGGAATTGTGTCATACTTTCGAATTCCCTCAAACACCCAAAACATTGCCTTATACCTAGTGAGCATTCAATGCTGCTTTCCCTAGCCACATTTAGTTTCTGTAGGACTGTTAACTTTTTACAGTGGGATCCGGTACAGTGCTGAGAGGAGTTCAACAAATTCTGGCTGGCTGGATCCCAGGCCTCCTAAACACTTCTAGGAATAGAAAAGTATCTTTCCTCATGTTGACTCAGTCTTACCTGATTGTGTCATGCAACTCTTTCCCAAGGCTCATTTGCCCCAATGCTTGTGCAGCTGCATGCCTTACTTTCTTATTCCAGTCATTCCACATCAGTTGGATCAACTTATGTTTCATATCCTATAAAAAGGTATAATAATTCGCTAGCACTTACTGAATGTTAATTTTGTACTTGGCATTGTACTAAGTGTTTTTACCCATCCCTTAATCTCCCAAACAATCCAATGGGGCAGATATTATTACCATTCACAGAAGCTTTGATTAACTTGCCCAAGGTTAACCTGATGAGAGCTGGAACCAGGGCTCAAACCTGGGTCTATTTCCCAAGCTCATCCTTTCATCTACTGTTATAGTGTCAGTGCCAACATAATCTGAGAGACAAAATTTGAAAGTGATGCTTAACTCATCCCAGTTTGCCTGGGACTTTCCTGATTTTAGTACTGGAAGTCCTGTGTCCTAGAGAAATCAGGATAATTGGTCACCCTATAAGTGTACTTCTCAGAGGGGAGGGGACAAGGATTACTACATGATGACTGTGTAAATGTGCCTAAGCAAGTTGTCTCTGCTGGAAACATCTCCTTTCTTCACCCCTACCTGGTACTTGATATTTTCCTACTTTTCCTTTATGATTTAGCCCAAAAAGCATCTCCTTAGTGAAGTCTTCTCTGCCCCCTGTAAACATAGGAAACCCCCATAATACTTTATAGCTGCTACTGTTATAGCCATTTATAACATTTACCAAGAGAAGAGATACCCTTTGCCTCCCTAATGCTAGCATAAAGCCTAGCATGTCAGATGTTGTCAGAAACTGCTTGCTTACTGAATGAGTGAAAGGATTCAGACATACCATCTTTCTTTTTTTTTTTTTTTTTTTTTGAGCCAGAATCTCACTGTGTTGCCCGGGCTAGAGTGCCGTGGCGTCAGCCTAGCTCACAGCAACCTCAAACTCCTGGGCTCAAGCAATCCTTCTGCCTCAGCCTCCCGAGTAGCTGGGACTACAGGCATGCACCACCATGCCCGGCTAATTTTTTTTCTATATATTTTAGTTGTCTGATTAATTTCTTTCTATTTTTTTTTTTAGTAGAGACGGGGGTCTCACTCTTGCTCAGGCTGGTTTCGAACTCCTGAGCTCAAACAATCTGCCCGCCTCGGCCTCCCAGAGTGCTAGGATTACAGGCGTGAGCCACTGCACCCGGCCCAGACATACCATCTTTCTTAATTCTAGCAGTCTAACGTGAAGTCCTCATCATCTTTACCTTGTCCCCTGCTAGTTCTGCATGTCTTTTTCTTTCTCATACATACTTAGAATGAATACATGTCTTTTTATTTTAAGTTGGCACTCCTGAGTGCCAAGTGCCAAGGAGGTGAAGGTACAAATGAGTCAGACGTTAAAATGATACTGTTAAAATACAGATTCTGACTGAGTTGGCCTAAGGTGAGATTTTGCAGTTCTAACAAGCTCCCAGGTGATGTTAGCATCAGGGTCCTACAGCCCTTGAGACAGAATTAACCCAGTCTGAAACCTCTTCAGGTGATTACTAAATGGCCAGATTTTGTGCTTCCCATATCAAAATGTGAGGGTTAAGGAGTGGAGGGTGTTCACATCTCATGGGAATGGCAGTGTTCTGGGCCATTCTGGAGATACCCAATGTTCTAAGGAAAAGATACAGTAGCACATAGAAGGGAAAGGTCCCATTTGGACAGCTGAAGACGATTGGGAAATAATGGCAAAAAGGAGGTCAGGTGAAAACGTAAATGGTGGTCAGGGTTTCCCTAGCCTGAAATTCCGTCTTTAGTTCTAGTTCTAGGCAAATTCCACATTCCTTCATAGAACTTTTTTTTTTTTTTTTTTT